TATATATTTATATTTATATATATATATATATATATATATATATATATATATATATATATATATATATACAGCCTGATCAATGAGTAATTTGTGTTGATTCACTATTTCACGGTCTCACCCCTTTGCGTAATGAGTGAGTGACCACAACACTAGTACATTGATTATGGTATAAAAAGAGCTTTTAAGTTGTGTGCCAAACTGTAAAGTGCTACTTAGGAAGCTCTGTACATTTCTGCAGAATTTGAATGTGCATCCTTTAGTAGCATGTAAGCATGCCCTGGCCCCTGCATGTCTGTTTATTAAATATTTTTGGGGATTTAAAAAAAATGCTTTTTATATGTTTTGGTTCTGTTCTGAATCAGTACCTTTCTTTGAGAGTTTCATCCTGTTCCCATAGGCCTACGTCTTTGGCTTGGGAAGTTCGAAAGATGTCACCAGGGCGACATGTAATGTCCAGCCCCTCGTCAGACCGTATTGTTCCATCACCTGGCGTTCGCCGTGCCCTCAATTTTGGGTAGGCCAGTCTAGTTACATCCATCACACTCAGGATCACTCAAAAACATTTCCCTCAAGTACTCACAAGTACTTCCTCTCCAATCCTAGCTCTTTATACTTATTTGCTTAGTATTTTGTCATGTAGATACCCATTGTGAGAAAATACAGCTAATAATGTGGTGTATAGGGAAAATATTACTGTGTAGGAACTATATTCCGTATGTATTATATAATTTGCTATTATAGCAAAAACTGATACATGATGTCCAATTTATTGAATCATATTTTTCTACTTTTCTACATAATATTAATGTTTGAAAAATGTAATAAATATACTGTTCCTTGGATTTTTTTTGGATCAACTTTTTGACATCCTTTTTTAGTTTTCTTTTCCCAAGGTTTACTTGCAGTTTCAGACATAGTGTATCTGCTTGAATCTGGCCTCAACCCTTTATCCCTGCTCACAGCATGCTAATTGACACCGTTGTCTCTGTTGGCAAACTGTGGCGACTTTCAACTCCTAACAGAGCAAGACATGAGGCTCCCCTGCATTAGTTTATTTTTTTTATTTTTTTTACTGATAGTGTGAAAGGAAGGCAATTGATAATGCGATTAAAATGCTACAGAATGCTCAGATGGAGAAATCAATGGCAGATGAGATACATGTCTTGGCCTCACTACGAGACCGGAAAGACTCCGCCCGTCTGGCAGAGGCTGGGAGGAGAAAGGGAATTGATCTGAAACGGCCTAAGCGTTTTGTTTAATGTGATTTTTGCCGGGTTCTCCTCAGGCCTGCGCTTGAGACTGTGGGGGGTGCAGATCTTAGTGTGGTTAAAGACTGCTGAAGCACGGGCATCCATGTCTGTATTATGCTGTAATTGGACGCCACAGGAAATGGATATTGATCAAGATGGAGGGCCCTCGATCTGAAGTTTCCATTTTAGTTCCCAGTGTTTGAGGAAGCCCTGTGTAACGATGCATAGCTAGAGTTTGCGATGGCTACCTGTAGAAGGAGACTATTTAACAATATAGTTAATGGCGGTAAAACATTTGTATCTATTGTAATTGTGCAACTGGTGATGAATAACACCACCAGGCTACTGTCCATCTGGGCATTTGAATCTGAGACCTCTGGTCTAAATGTCTTGTGTGTTTACAGTGGTCCCCCTCCCACTTTGGCTGTGGCACGTCTCTCCCACACTGGACCAAGCTGGGCTGACCGAGTCAAGTGTTCCCAGTCCCTTCCTGTCCCCAGTCCAAGTGTCAACATCCCTGCTGAAAAACCAGGTGAACGGATCTTCTCTATTGACAGTTAGAGAGTTTTCAAATCCAGATGTATAAGTATTTCTGTGTTTATGTATATATCGGTATCCATCAATCCTTAGCAAAGAAAGATGCAGAGGGCTGGGAGACTGTGCAGCGTGGACGCTCCATGAGGCCACGCTCCAACACCATGGTGGCCAAGGTAAGCCCCGTTCTGCCCCATGTAAGCCCCAAAGATGACAGCGACAAGGAGAACCAGCGCATCCAGCCCTCGCCTCAGGAAAAATCTCAGGAGGTGAGGGAGCAAGAGCAACCTGTATGCCAAGAGCAGAGGCAAGAGACTGAAAAGACCTCCGTCATTGAGGTACTGACATCAACCTGCTTCCCTTTATTAATTATTTAGAGCCCAGGCATAGATATGAAGGCTCTGTAACATCAGAATGTTTTTGTTTGGTCACAGTGTGTTCATAGATACACTGTCCAGACAGGGCAGTATCAAGTGTACAAGCATCGATTTTGTACATGTTTATCAGATTTAATGAGGTTTATTAAATATTGATGATACAATGTCCTAGATTACGTTTGGACAATATGCCGAAGCCAATAGTTCTGTTGCAAATCCTAGTGAGCTGCCATGCTACCTACTTCCTGCATAGGCTCAAAACAGCACCCTCTCTGAAATAGAACATCATTAATAGTGACTGATTTGGAACGCTCTATGCAGACAGCATCTCTTACAAATAGTACAAGACTTGACCCATAATTGATTTCGACGAGTTTGTCGTTGGCATGTTGCTAAGTTAGTTTGACAATTCGCCAGTGGGCATAAAATATCACATTTAGCACTAAATAAAACATTCATCTGCAATCTTGATGTCATTTTTTTTCATTAAACTTGTTACAATGCAATGTGGTGTTGTCTTCTCCAAAGAGCATTTGATGCCACCCTAGAAGTTTGCCAAAATTTATTAGGAAGCAGCTAAATTAAGTTGCCTACTTTTGAAGCAGCCTGCACATCAAGAGCCTTGAATTGCTGCCTCTGAAGACAAGCTTACTAGGTTTTACAACTGAGAATGTAGTTGAGACTAGTGACTCAAAATGACTTGTTTGCATGTTTGTGGTTTATGATCATACAGTTCTTGGTATGCTACTTGTTTGTTTTGAAATGCATGATATTGTGTAATTATTTAGCATGCTGTGTTTCTTTAGTTCTGTTTGTTTTCTTGCTGCCAAATGGTCTGTCATACAGATGCGGCAAGAAGTGCTGTGACATGCATGTTTGTGTTCATATTTGTGTATGCATCTGTGTGTATGTTGCACAGCCCCCAGCAGAAAGTATTGAAGAGCCAGAGCAGAGTGTCCGCAGCCCCTCTGAGGACACGCCACCCCCTACCTCTCTGCCTTCGCAGGCCCAGTGCCCAGAATTGGATTCCGATCTAGGTTCTCCCCCTGTAACCCTTTCCCAAACAGAGAAGCTGGGTACTTTGCAAGCCAAAGTAGAGCAGGGGATGGAGGGGTCGGTGTGGAAGGTCGTGGCACCGTCGGCAAAGGCAGAGGCAGCAGTCTACGTTCCCCTGGCAGCGATGACACTGGAGAGCATGCTGGACCCCACAGAACTTTCCACCGTGAGTGCTGAGAGACACAGGCCAGGGTCAGGACTACCGCCTAAACAAAGTCAATCCCAAAAACCTCCAGGCGAGGCAGGATTACCCCCCTCCCTCCTCCTTTCTCTCAGCAAGTATATGTATGTACGTGCTGACAGGGGTGAACACTTATCACTGTGAGTAGAGAACAGGAAGGCCGAGAGTTGCCCCTGTTGTTTAAGTTTTTATTTTAGGCTTATCAAGTGTCCCCTGCACCAGTCAGACACCTTGACTGGTTTAGTCCCCATGGACTGTCATTGACCTTGACTTCTCTTCGAGCCTTGACCTCCCAAAGTCTGGCTAGATTCAAAGGTGCCACTACACACTACATCTCTCTCACAATTAGAGCTCGTCTGATCAATTATATTAATTTTGCTCCGCGTAGTTCTAGGAGCTTAGTTCTGGAAACTAGCCAGCATGGTGGTTCCTAGAGAACAAATTTTCCCCTCTGCCCGTTTTCCTGGTTGCATTTGCACCAGCAACGGGTACTCTAAAGCGGCCCACAGCAATGTCTTTATTCGTGGCATTTACAAACGTCAACAACCGGTAAATGGAGAACGCCGTGATCGGAGCTGTTTTTGTTGTGTGTCGTGGGTTTCTTGATAACGGAGATGGAATGTAAATGCACAGTTTACTTGATTGAAAGAGCATGAAAATCTAACTAAATGTCCTATGAAAACTTGCAGTGTTATCATCGAGGCTGAGAAAAGAAGAAAACGCTGCAGACAACCGGTAAATGCCTTTGGGCCAGATTTACTAACAGCTGGCGCCAGGGCAAACCATCTTTTCATGTTAAAATAGTACTGTCAGGCTTTTCTAAAGACACGCAATGAAGAATTAGCACTGAAAAGGCATGGACACAGAAATTTTTGCACCTGACCTTATTGAATATGCATTTGTAGGAGTTTCCCTTTCAGAGAGTATTAAAATGAATCACGCAATGCGATTTACTAAGATTTGCACTTGTCAGTTCACTGGTATTTGGGGCATTGTTTAACACCCATAATTATCTCTATTTTCCATGTTCGTGGAGTAAATATTTTTACTCAGCTTTTTAAAAATGCTGGGTAGCTGGTGTTTTGCCAGTCAGCGTACTCTTACATCACTGGTAGTTCCTATAGAAATATTTTAGACCCTACTCTGAAGTAGGACCTAATTGAGTTCCCCCAAATTGAGTTCTTAGAATTAAATACATTCCTAATTCCTGCGGTGCAAACATGCCAAAAAATGGGAACTTCTGCCAGTAGTTCTAGAAACTATGAAAAGATTCCATTAGTGGTTCCTATTTTTAAGTTTGGTGCCATTTCTTCCAGCTCAGAACCTCCCTTTTTTCTGCACAGAACAGGGACAGAGTTTTGTGGAAAAGGGGTAACAAAATGTATAAATTCCAGATTAGAATCCAAGTACAGTGATCAAATTTCTGTCCAGCAACCAACTAGCTGCAAAATGTTTTGCTTGAAGTTCAAGACTATTAATTGGTTTAACTACTTGACCTATAGGCCAAATGGCTTTTCTTTAGACGGGATGGCTGTAGAAGTGAGATGGCGACTGCTGTTTTGGCATTCTGCTTGTCTCCTGTCTTGTCCTTTATAAGAGAAACCTCCAAGGGGTAAGTTAAGGATAGACCCACAGCATTTTCTGTGAGCTTACCGGCTTCCATTACTCAATGGGTGTTGGCCTCTGTACAAACCCCAGTCTGAAACAATGGAAATGGATGAGGTTTAAACTCCCAGACAGAAGCACAATCTCAATCGTGTCGGAATCCGGAATCATTGCTTCCGAGGCCTTGACTCTCTGGGTGGGTCAGATAAGCCCAGCTCTGTTTAGACTCCAGATCTAAGACCAGCAGGCGAGCTGTTGAGAGAAATCCATCTCTTATTATGCTCGTTAGCATGACGTTTGACACTGACCTCAGTGCAGCTCCGGGCGTCTCCATCTTCTCCCACGGCCGTCTGAAATTGGCACTCGGCATACTGTTCACTCATCAGGTTCTGAAAGCGGGGGTTAAGTGTTGTGGCCTCTGATGGCAGTGGGTAGGATACTTTTTCCAAAATATTTTGCCAATTTATCAGTCATGACGAGTCATGAAGACCCACAGGTGCACCTGTAGAAGGAATGTATGAGCAAAAATGTGCCCCTCAACAAATTCCCCTTTTGTTACCACTCTAAAATTGGAATAAACCCCTTTTGCCTACAGGTAACTATTCTCCAAAACATTAGTCACCTGATGGCATTTTGCAAAATGGGCTGCACAGGGTTTTTGGCCATCTTAAAGAGATAATTTACCTAAAAATTTAAATTGTGTCAGGATCCTCATGTTTTAATCAGCATTCATATCTTTTTTTTTTCTGTGTAATACAAAAGAAAATATTTTGATAGCATTTTTGGTCTGTATAATGAAAGCCAATGGGGTGCAAAGTTGTTTAGACCCCAGTGTTCTTCAAAATATCTTCTTTTGTAACACACAAAAACGTGGCAGGTACAGTATGTGATAGCTGCAATGCCATTATTATGGCCATGGGTCACATGACAGAAGAATAAACGTATTGTAAAACGGTTATATTTGGGGAAAAAAAAGAAGACATTTCAGCTTACGTATTGATTTTTTTTTTGGCATTTAATTTAGAAGAGTATTTCAATATCAACAATAATGAATTGATTTAAATTCTTTTAAATTGTCATCCTGCTGCCCCCTTGTAAGTTTTTTTTTTTTAATTTAAGCCCCCGTTATGAAATACTGTTGTAAACTAATATATTTATAAATTTACTTATCATTAATAAAGTAAATAAATCTATTAAATATTAAAATTATTTATGCAAATGTACATGTTTATACATATGGATGAATTATGTAAATTTTTATAGCTAAACTTATTATAATTTATATTCATTTACATGATTACATTGTCATATTCCTTAAAACCTTTGAGATGTGCAACAACTGTTTGCAAAACATTCCAAATTAACCTATTTTGCCAACTACAAATGTGTGTAGAGTGCAGTAAATCGCTAATAACTTCTTTGAACCATGACTATATTCGCAAAACAACATAGGCTCTCATACCTTATTGCTTAAATATGTTGTGTAAAAAAACTCCTTCCCATCTCCTCATCCCTATTGTTGTTGTGTGCTGCATGATTCCGTTATACTTCTCCATGCGTGGTTTTTGTGATTGATTGTGTTTATGGCCTGTGCCTGGATTATTATCATTTCATTTGATCTTTGTTCAGTTTCTTACAACATCTTTTGCATTTGTAAGTTTTTGTGGTGTGCAGGCTTCCACCAAGCATTTCAAATTTGGTTGCATTTCAGAAATTTGAGTCTAGCCTAATTTCAGATGAAGTGCTGAAATGATTGCACCATGTCCTAATTGAAGTTGTGCTGCCTGGGCATGTACTCAAGAGCCTGGTGTGGCTAACTTGGCACTGTATGGATCGTTTTGTGCCCCTGTTTGGTGACTTCAGTGGCTGAGTGCGAGTGTTTTGTGCCTGTTGTCAGCCCCAATCCATGGCTGAAGTTTTGGCTAAGAAGGAAGAGCTGGCCGACCGCCTGGAAAAAGCAAACGAAGAGGCAATCGCAAGTGCCATCGCTGAGGAGGAGCAGCTGACGCGGGAGATCCAAGCAGAGAACAACGAACTGGAGACCGACAACGAGAGCGACTTCTCTGTAAGTCAACAATTAACCCTAGTGGTTTATATGGCTGATGTAATTACAACAACATCAATCGTCTTGCCTCTTTTATGTCTGTGGTCTGAATTTAGCGTCATTTTTATTTTGTTCTCTTAAAGGCAAGTATCGGGAGTGGAAGTTGTGGCTTGAATTTAGACTGGAGCGAGATGCTAGCTGATTATGACGGTAATGATGCGATTAGCATCTACATTGCTAACTGTATGTATAAGTCTATGAGTTAATTGTTTATTTAATGATAAAATGAAATGGCTAAAATGACTGAAATTAAATGAATATTTATTTTAAACAATATTTTCTGGAAAATTTGACTTCTAATGTTTAAACTTGGACTTGACTTCCCTTTTCCTTTTTACTAGTGCTGTCAAACGATTAATCGCGATTAATCACATCCAAAGTAACAAAGTAAAGGTTTTTGTGTACATAATAAATGTACACCGTACACACACACACATATTATGTATATATAAATGCAAACACATGCATGTATATATTTAAGAAAAATTGTATATTTGTATATTAATTATATTTATATATGATATAAATGTATATACATGTAAATATTTTCAAAATATATACTGTATGAAGTACACACTAGGGCTGGGTAAAAATATCGATATCTCTATTTTAATTGATTCTCATTTTTACGAAACGATATCGATTCTTGAATCCCAGGGCTCGACATTAAGCCTTGACATGTGCTTGTCTTTCACACAAATAAATCAGTCATTCACTTGTCTGAGTAAAAAAGTTACTTGTCCAGGGCAAAAAAAAAAAAAAAAAAAACCCTTTTTTTTTTTTTTTTTTTTTTTGTTTTAAGTT